CTAAAACACTAAGTTGTTTTATTTTGTTTTTAAGTTCAACGGTATATTTTATTGAGGGGTTTTGTTCATTTAAAGCTTTAAGAAATAATTCTTGCTTTTCTTTTGAATCAAAGCGAGCATGACTATCATCCACTTATCTTTTGTAAGGTATTGGTTGGAATGAATTAACAAAGGCTATATCAAGTGCTCTTTTTTCTATACTTTGCAAAAATGCTTCAGCTATGACTACCATCAATAATAAACCAATTGGACCTGAATAAGGTAAAATTTAGATTTTATCTTTGTATAAAAAGTAACATATACTTAGCGATAGTTTAATTAATTGGTGTATATCTATGAGAGATAATTTAGTCCTAGTTTTTAAATCTTCAAGATCATCGATCAGTATGTTTATAATAACAGGAATTGCTTCATTGATTGGTACGGATGGATATAAATTCATTACATCAAATGAAACTTGAATTTCAATAGGGCCTATCTTCCAATCTTTAGAATCGTTAATCAAGTTTCTTGAAATAATTAGTCAAGTTATATTTTTGTTTAATGTTGGTTGGATAATTTTAACCAGATACTCAGATGTTCCATAAGGAAGTGTGTTAATAGTGGAAACAACAGAACGCATTGGGTAGTTTTTTTTCGGTTTGTGTGCTTTAACCATTCCATAGATTCTAGGTGGAATGCAATCTGATGGATAGATTTTAAAATAATATAAGAGATGTTCTTTTGTATTGGGACAAATTTTGGACCTACTTAATCTTGGTCCAAAATTTGTCCCTTCAAAAGAAAATCCCTTATATGGACATAATCACTAATATTGAAACTTGCACCATTGAACTCGAACAACAAAATAAATAAACACAGGCAGAGATTCTTTGACAAAACTGTTTCAAAATTGCGATTGCTCATAAACTTAGATTAACTTGAGTATAGTTTTTTTTAAAAGGATTTTATGGGGGTTCATAGGATTTTTGATGTTTTAAATATGACACTTTAAGGTATTAAATATGCTAATAAAAAACCTTTTTTTCTACATAAACATTTAGTTTTTGAAAGTTATGATCATAAAAAACTTACAGCCCAATTATTTTAGGGATTGTGGAAACTTTACATGGTCGTGAATTTTAAGCAATAAATTATTTGATGAAATTAAAAATCTGCGATGAATTTTAATATAGAAAACGGTAGTAGAAGATTAATTTGTTCCCTTCACATTTGACCATGTATTCCATAAAATCACCTATGTTTGGTCACTTGAGCTTTAAACATTCTTATCTCAAGCATAAATAAACGTTTTTTCAAATTTTTTTCTGAATTATACAAACAACTGTAACATTAATTTATATTGTAAAAATAATTAAAATAAAAACTGGTAACAAATATTTTATTTCAAATGAGAACAGTTAGTTTGACCAAACTTTCAATACCTCTCATAAGTTCAGTCACTATACATTCCTATCAATACATTGTATTGTTACAAATTTAACATCCCAATAACACAATGTGGTAAATTTAAAATTTGATTAACACATCACAATTAATATTTTAATTGTGATGTGTTAATCAAATTTTAATTGTGTGTTTTTAATGTTATTTTATAATAAAGTTGTGAAAAAAATTGTTTTAATTCAATTTTAAAAAAACTATTTTTATAATTAACAACATTGATTAATAACTTTAATTAATAACTTATTATTATAATTTATTAAAAAGCGAAAAGCAAAATATGTTTTTAACAAATTTATTTAGGTGACTTTATTTAGACGAGGGGTATTGTTATAGTTATATATTGAAAAAAAGAATGCATTAAAAGATAGCATTTACAAGAACTTCACATTTTTATTGTGTCATTTGCTTTTTAGATAGAAAGGTAAAAATGGAGAAAAAGAAAAAATATTTGTAATTAAACTTTAAATAAGTTCGATATCTTTCTGAACAAAGTTTTTTTTAAAAAAAAACTTTAAAATTGGTAACAATAAAGTAGATCATAATAAATATATTATTTTGATTTCAGGCTTGGTCGGGAAGCGGGAGCGATCGCTCTCGATTGCTGACCACAGAAATAATATTTAATTGCAAAAAGTTGGCCAAACTTTTTAGTGGTTTTTAGAACATTTCAAAAAGCAAAAAAAAAATGCGCAAAAAAGTTATTTGGACCAATGAGAAACAATTACAAAAAAAAAAATTAAAAAAAAAAATTAGGAAAATAAAATCTTTTAACGCGAAAAAACTTAAAGCAAAATAAATTACGTTTAGAACAAATATTTTCAAAACATCGCTCTTTTATAATTTTTTTATAAAATTAAGCGACGTTTTTTTATATAAAGTAACATCTTACGATTGTTTAAAAAGGAAACAAATGTTCCTTATTTATCAAAGTTTGCAAGTTTTAGTTTTGTCGAAGCTAAATTATTTTATAAATAAAAAAGTTAATTTTTATAATACCTATTTTATGTTTCACATAGTTTAAAAAGTTCATCATATTTGAAACAATTCTTCTTAGTAAGATAAACAAATGAAATAATTAAATCATTGAATTACTATAGAAATTAAATTAACTAGATACAAATCAACTAAAAAAGTTAAAAATGCTTTATGACGAGGAAGCAAAACTGCTTCACAATGTTGCAGATGATGTTTAATGAGTGGGTTTTTTAATTTTAATTAGTATTTAAAGCAGAAAAAAGTATAACGAATTCTTTAGAATGGCAACTTAAACGAAAATAATTAGATTTAGTAAACTAATATCTAGAAACTTTTCTTTATATCTAATAACTTGCTATATATATTTGTGTTCTATTGTGACCTCAGGCACGGTGCTTGTTCATCCGCAAGTTACTTTGTATGGATTGTTTGTGTTTAGTAACCAGAAACTTCTTATATGTTTGTTACATAATCAGTTTTATTAACTTTGATGATTATTAATAACTTCATCGAAAACGAAATTATTTTTGTAAGTCTTTGTTTACAAATTAAATCGATAAAAAACAGATACAGAAAATTACATTTACATAAAAAATACATACTCTTTAAATGAAAAATAAGTATATACTAATAAAATCTATAATTTATAATAAATTTTCAAAATTTTGACAATTTAAATAATATATATTGTATAATATATATTTAAAACATTTATTTTTGTAAACAAATAATAATAGTTTATAAGATTTACGGTTTTTCTCTGAGACTCCGAGAATGAGCCATGGAATTGATAATATATTCTCAAAACAATCTATGCTAGAAATCTCAAAGCGTAACAAATCGTGAATAATACAATTACTAAAATATTTCAACTGAATACTCTAGAGCTTTATTTTGCTTAGTCAGCATATTTTTCGGAACAAAAACAAAGAACTTTCGAACTTTACTATTTTTTAAAAAGCTATTTGAATTTTTAGTTATATTTTTAATTAAAAACTTTTTTTAAATAAAATATAAAACGTAAATGTAAGCTATTCTAAAAATGAAAGAGCATACTATGCAATACTTTTATATAGTCGCTTTTTAACTTAGTCAGTGCTGTACCCAGCAATAGCTTAGGTGGTAGTGGTTTAAAAAATAATCCCTAAAAAAAAAGAGGGTGCTTTTACTATTTATTTTTTAAAAATAAATTTTAAATTATTTTTTAATGTATATAAAATGCTTCTACTGTTAATGATTTTTGAAAGCATATGTTAAGGTATGTTTTATGAACAAAATACATCTTGAGTCTATTAGGTAGGTATTTAAATTCAGGCCTAGTTATGAAGCGTTATACAGTACACATTTTACATAAGAAATAGCATTTTCACCTATACATTCAGCAATTTACATTTAACAAAAACTTTAACCTATTGGAATATTTAAGTAGTTTTTTGATTTTGTTTATGCGCGTTTATTTACATGAAATTAATTGTTGTAAAAAACTTGTTAATCGCGTTTCTAAAATCATATGATTTTTTGATTAAAAAAGCAAACAGATTGTTGAATAAGTTTTCTTTTTAATAAAGAAAAGTTTTTCAAAAAGTTTATAACAAAAGGCCTGCAATGCTTTATATTGGTAATTCAATGAAGTAGGTGACATTTTAAAAACTGCATACTGTTGTGACAAAACTTTAAATTACAAATTCATAAAATATGCTCATTATTTACAAATATAATAAATTCAAATAAAATAAAATAGTTTGAATTTTTATAAAACTTTTTTTTATCAAAATATCAAAATAATTGAAAAAACTTGATATCAATACAATGTAAATGAATGAAATGTAAAAAAAGCAAAATAATCTAGAAAGCATGTGAATATTTTTGAAGACAATGTTAGTTTTATAAGTTATATTCGTTCAGGTGTTAGAAATATAGTGACAACCAGTAATAAAACATTACTTTTAAAAATTTTATATTTAAGAAACTCTTAAAAGTTTAATTTTTTAGTTTTTATATAACAATTGATTTTATCACATGTCAGGCGCAGTGTTCACTAAAAGCATGCATGCCTGTAAAAAGATGGCCTATATGCTAAATATATTTCTCAAATTTAACTATGTTTAACCTGATTGATTTTAAGTTTTAGCACAACTTTTTTTTATGTATTGTTCAAAAGCAAATTTTACTTTTTCACTGGAAATATGTATAAATCTATAAGGCTTTTATTTTACCTTTTGTTTTAGTAAAAATGAAATTCCTTGTAAACATTAAAAATACATTCAAACTATTTATAATAATTTACTGATCATAATTGTTATAATCTGTAAATACCTATTCACAAAATAAAACAAAATTTTTTTTATACATGTAGATTGTATGGAATAAATAAAAAGAAAAACTGTATTCTAAGTAAAAATTTTTAACATTGTTACATAATAACATTTCTACACTGTTTTGAGTTAATTATTCACTTAAACTAGCATTGCGATAGTTAAGTAAATTCTGGTAGTTCAAAATTTTAATAACAATAATTATAAAAAGAAAATAAAAAAAACCCTATGACAATATTTTTTTATGATATTATTTTTTTGTAGTTGTAATTGGGATTATTCAAAGTGGATTGCCATTTTTATTACTTGTGTATAGTATTCAATATTTTCCACCTACTTTGATTGGAGTAGCAATTGCGTCGCCTCCTTGGTGGATTCTTCTTATTGAAAGATTACCATTTATTGGGGTATTTGTTTTTTAATATTACTTGTTTAAATTAATCATGTTGATTTAAACATGATTTATGAAAAAAATTGTATTAACTTTCTATAAATCATATTTTATGGTGCAATTGTAGAGACTGTTTTACATGTCAAGTAATGTCACATATCATGCGATGTCTTATGATGTTTTGACATTAAAGCTTGCATGCTTGTACTGTATTACTATATTTTTTTATTATGGTATACACTTATTAGTTTATGGAATTAAAAATTGCTAGGAAATACAAGATAGAATGGTAAACTGTTGTATTAATGTGAAAATAAATTTGTAAAAAAAAACTGGTGACTTAAGAAATAAATTTTAATTCATCAATGTTCTTCATCAAAAACAAAGAGTTTCTTTAAATACGATATCTGCTCAGCATTCTGTTAGTACAAGTGATATCAATGCTGAATGACAGAAGAATGACAATTAACTTGTTACTAAAATGTTCAAAAACATTAAAGTTCATAAATATTGTAAATATCACAACATTTTATGGTATAAATAAGAATAAAAAACTAGTTGATCATAGTTTTCTCATCTCTCAAAATATTTGTGAAACCACTTAAACTTACCACTATTGATTTTAATCAGACTTAAAGATCGCCTTTTTTTTTTTTTAATTATAAATAAAACAACATAAGATTAACATTCTAAGATATGTTTGGAATAGTCTTGACTTTATAAACATATATAATGATCCCTTAAGCACTAGTTTTTCTAATCTTTACTTAATCAACGCTTCAGTATTCTTTAACTATTAAGTAACCAGGGCTGATAATTGACTGCAGCAGGGGCTGGGATTATGGCTAGGGCTGCCTAAATCTTGGTAAACCTGAGAAGTGTGATGTCATACTGAAATAGCCTGCTGCCGGGGGCTGCAGTACATACATCAACTGACAAATAGCCTGACTCGCAGTGGAGTGCTGCCACATAGCCTAAGGGTTTTGGGATGGGTCAGCAACCTTTTCATTCATTATTCATCGTTTTCCCTCTGTTTTCTAAAAAACTTTTATATATATATATATATATATATATATATATATATATATATAATATATATATATATATATATATATATATATATATATATAAAGGTACATTAACTATAAAAATGGTTATTTAATTAATTATTTGAAATTATTAAATAATTATTTGAAATCTTCTTTGAGAGTAGGAGCAAGAGCAGAAATTATCTGAAAATTGTGAAATTAATACTTAATATTTTGTATGATAGCCTTAGCATCAATCACTGCTTGTAACCTTAAGGGTAAACTGTTACAAGGGCTTTCAGGTGATCAACTGGAATATTATTCCATGCATCTATGCAAGATCTAAAAAAATCTACTTTCTTAGAACCAAACTGGGTTCTCTTAATTTTTTGGTCTAAATAATTCCATAGATTTTCTATGGGGTTAATATCGGGATTCTGTGCGGGTCATTCTAACATTTCTATATTATTTTCCTTAAAATAGTTTTGCGCAACCTTGCTGGTATACTTGGGATCGTTATCTTTTTTGAGTCTTCATACCCCATTTTCTCTACAGATTGTGGTAGGTTATTCTCTAAAATTTTAACACTTTATTCCAAGCAGTATTTCATTGATTAGCACCAAATCTCCTACTACTTTGTAGCCAAAATAATCCCATAGCATAACGTTACCACTGCCATGTTTTATTGTGGTTTGGATAGTTCTATCCGAAACATTGATGTCAAGGATTTCTTTAATATTCCTAGCTGACTGAGTTGGTTCCTTTGTTAATTCTCTTACAATTCTGTTATTGTCGTAAAGTGATGTCTTGTGTAGGCGGCCTTTTCATATTTTCTACAGTATTATGCCTTTTATATTTTTTTATTATTGATTGTACACTAGGTTTACTTTTTTTATATTTTTGAGCTATTTTACTGCAACCTAAACCACTTTTATGGTCATCCACGATTAATTGTCTTAAATCCAAACTGATTTCTTTTCTTTTAGGCATTTTAATGAATATTAAGACGTTTTTAACAAATTAAATTCTACTATCACGTAAATTAAAGTCACAAAATTAAAATATTTATCAAACAGATTCATAAATTTTCATATCAAATAATCTTAACATCACCATATGAATATTTATGTCGCATGAAAAACTGCTGATTTTGCAATAAAATAAATATAACTTTGTAAAATGTGGATTCCCCGATTTAAAAATGATAGATCTCTGATCTATGCAATATATTTAACATTTTTGCAGGGTTGGTTGTCATAAAAATGGGCTAAATAAAAAATACCAGTCAAATCTTGAAAAAATTTATGAAGATATGAATAATTTTAGCACCTACTGTGCATGTATATATATATATATATATATATATATATATATATATATATATATATATATATATATATATATATATATATATATATATATATATATATAGTAAATGACTTGGGGTACTTTTGGTACCTAAATCACTTTAATCTTCTCTAACAAAGGTTGTCCAATTAAACGCTTTTTTTATAATCTGTCTATGACTATGCCTTCTTTTCTTATCATGTTAAAGTCACACAACACATTCATCTGATCATCTTCTCTTTTGGCAAATGCTATACCATATAAATACTAAAGTTTATATTAATATGAAAGGATATTGTTTGTCAGCATCTGAATAAAAAGCAAAAATATGTTTATACCCATAATATGTATATATTGGAAGCTTATAATCCTTTTGGGATAAAAGTTTGGAAGCTTCTATTCTTCCTCTTCAACATTAAATCAAGCCTCATTCTACTCCACATTTTTTACCATCTTGAGCGGTTGCTTTACAAAACAGTAATCTTTTTTTCATCTTTTTTACAAGAACATCTCTCTTATAAACAAATGTCCTTTTATTATTCTAAGAATGTAAAAAAGTCCTGTTTGATGTTAAGTTCTGTTATTCTTAGTTTACTAAATCTTGTTTCTTATCTCAGATAAGAATCGAGCGAGCAACAGCGTAACGAAAAAAATATAAAAATTTGAAAATACACAAAAAATTTATTTCAATTCATAACTGACTAGAATTTTGACTAGATGTTTATTCATGACTAAGGTTTAAACTTATTCAATGTGGCCACCATTGGCATCATACACAAGTTGAATACGCCGCTGGAAGGATCTGCATGCATTCTTGACATCTTCTTCTGGAACTTTGGCCCATGCTTTGCATATAGAATTTTTTAGTGACTCGGTACTTCCATGGGGAATCTTGCAAGCCTCTTTCTCAAGTCAGCTCTAGAACAAGAAGATTAAGAAGATTATATGATTGTATTGATTGTCAGAGAGTAAAATAATAAATTTTTAAAATGGTATTTATTTTTCTTTAATCATCAAATAAAAATTTGTTGGCTCAAAGACATTGCTAATAATAGAAAAAGATGGCTGATATTGATATATACAGGTTTTCATTTATAGTTATAATTACAATATGTTACGCAAAACATAAGTTTACACAAAACAAAAGTTTAAGTTTTGTATTGTCAGCCATTACATAAATCTTTTATTTTATTTTAATAAATTTTATAAAAGTTGGGTCACGACTGTGACATCACACACTTAAGAGTGGGGGTTATGTGGATAGATTGACCGACAATAAAAGTTAAGTCATAGTTTAAAGTCACATTAAAATGTTGACACAAATGACAAAATGGTTTGTGTTAAAAATTAATTCAAATCAGATCTGATCAGATCTGATTTGATATTTGGATGATAGAAAAAGATGGCTGATCGGATGATAGTTAGAGGAGTCAAAATGTTCTCCAGCTTTTTTAAAAGTTGTAACACATTTATTAATACTCCAATTATCAAATCAGATCTGATCAGATCTGATTTGATAATTGGATGATAGAAAAAGATGGCTGATCGGATGATAGTTAGAAGAGTCATAATGTTCTCCAGCTTTTTTAATAGTTGTAACACATTTATTAATACTCATGAAATGTTAAAAATAAGTTAAAATTTTTTCTCTTTTTTTTATCTGGCAAACTACAAACTAATTCTTAATGATATTGTTTTTATATACAATGTATTTTAATATTTTGTTAGATATACATTTTTTTTAGATTTTGTTTAATATTTCTTTTATATGATCTTTTCTATTTTTAATTTTATCTTTTTTTTTTTTAATTTTTAATCTTTAATTTTAACTTGTCTTTAACAAATGAATGAAGTAATGAAATAAATAAACTTTTTGAATATATCATTTTTTGCCGTTAATTTATTTAGTATATAGTAGATTAGTTTATCATAAATTTATATAGTTTAAAATTTTTTTTTTTCATAGCTAAGTGATAATATTCATTGGATAAAAAAATGTTCAATATTGCTTGGTTTAATTGGAAGTATTATTACTTATTTTCCGATACTTGTGCAATCTATTGCTTGTTTTCCAGTCCATTCTTCAATTGTAAAAATTAATGGCTCTTATGATATCCTTAAAATCAATACTAATCAACAATTGTATTATGATTCGTGTCTATCAGGAAAAGAGTTATGTTTGGGTTCGATAGCACTCATCTTGGCACCTATTGTTTTAGGAATCGCTACTGGTTAACTTTATTTATATATATATTTTTTCCTTGAGCAGAAGAAATATGTTAAGTTTAATGAGTATTATTGTTTTATTTCTGATATCATTTAATTATTGTTATTATTTGATTTATTGTTTGAATATGATATATTGCAAAATATTTTTAAATGTTTATGTTTGACCGTTATAAAAAAAAAAATATAGTTTGATCATTATTTCAGTTTTTTGGAAAATGCATCAGAAAAATACACATTACTTAGTTTCAAGTATTGGTCAAAATGGATTTGGTGGATTGTTAGCATTTTTTATTTGGTTGATATCAGGGGAGGTTCTCAACAAGGAGCAGGTGCTTCTTATTAATTTGTACTCTTAATGAATTTTGTGGAATATTAATGAAGTGTATGTTTTGCAATATTAATGAAATGTCTTGCAACATTAATGAAATGTTTTGCAATATTAATGAAGTGTTTTGCAATATTTAGATAGTCTGGAATTCTTTTGAACTAATTCCAAGTATTTTATTTTTGGGCATTGCGACAGGTTGGTTGGCTACATTGTTATTGCACAATTTGTTTTTGGATGTTGGTGAGTGATTCAAAAGTTTTACATAAACATATGATTTTTTAATTTTTATATTTATTTGATATTTATGTACTGCGCACAAAATAATGGGTGGTTAACGGTCAACTTCTGCATGAAATGATCAAAATTGCTGTTTTGACCTTCTAAAATGAGTTGATACTGGTTAGGGTTGACCAGTTAAATAAATCTAAGTTTTAAAAAATAAGCTACTCTACTAACTACCATCCCATTAGTCTTCTTCCTATCATAAGCAAAGTTTTTGAATCTTTAATTAACAAACACTTAATCTCTCATCTTGAATCTAATAACTTACTTTCTGATCATCAATATGGATTTCGATCTTCTTGTTCTACAGCTGGTTTGCTAGCAGTAATAACCGATAGGTTTTATCATACACTAGAAAGAAGTGGAGAGGTTAAGGCTATCGGTCTTGACGTTTCTAAAGCTTTTGATTTAGAAACCTCAAGACCTCATTTGGGGCATTTGAGCTTGAGAAGCGTCTCAATTCTTGTACAGCATGGGGCTCACAGTGGCTGGTGAACTTTAATTCAGATAAAACCCAATTTTTTTCAGCCAATCCTTACCGCAATAATTTAGATCTTCCTATATTTATGACCGGTAATGTACTCAATGAATCATTACTCTTTATCTTCTAGGATTAACTCTTACTTCGAATCTTTCTTGGAAACCAAATATTAAATCCATTTCAAAATTAGCATCTGCTAAATTTGTATCTCTTTATCGTGCTCAACACTTTCTTACACTGGATTCTATTCTTTATCTCTATAAATCTCAAATCCGTTCTTGTATGGAATACTGTTGCCATCTGGGTGGATCTTCCAATGAAACCCTTTCTCTTTTAGATAAGAACCTCCCACCATTATCACATCATTGTAATGTTGCTTCTGTTTTTCTTTTCTACAAATACTATAATGGGCACTGCTCTAAAGAGCTAGCGTCTTTTGTGCCATCTACTAAAATTTATTCTCATGTTACTCGTCATTCAATTAAGTTTCATCCTTTCTCTGTGACTATTCCTAAGCACTCCAAAAACTCTTATTTGTCTTTTTCTTTCTCGAACACCAGTTCTTTGCTTTCTTCATCTTGCTTTCTTGATTCATATAATTTGCTATCTGTTAAGTCATCTATCGTTATTTTGCTCTATAAACTTTATCTTTACTCTTCCAGTAACTTTCAACTCTAACAATGGTTGCCTGCAGCCTTGTTTGAAGCAAAGATGTTGAAAAAAAAAGCATTTATAAACCCTTTAAATTGGTTGTTTTTTTGTTGTTTTTTTTCTCTTTTAATTTTTCACTAAATTTTTGTTATTAAATCTTTTTAAAAAAACCTCTTAAAATTTTATAACCTTATGAAATTTTTCTACCATTTGTCATGTCATTGCAATGAATGAATGTAATTAACAATGAATGTTTTTAAAAACGTGTGTTGTAAAGCATTAAGTAACAAGTTGCAAAAATCTTTTTAAATTAAAAATAACTTATGTTGAATTAATTTTATAAAAATTTAATTAGATTGATTTGATTTACAATTATTGACTACCAAATCTATGCGTTAACCAATCAAATTGACCGCCTACCATCAATTTTTTATTTTGTGCGCAATAAAATAATATTAGTAATATTATAAATGTATTGTTCCTGATTATGTGATTCACATTTTTCATTATCATTAGAAAAATAATATTTTGTGAACATTTCTACTTACACTGGTCAAGAAAGTTTTTTTCAGCTGATATAATTATGTCTCTCTAGTTGATTTGAGCATGCTGAATCCAAAAATTGCATGTTCGTCTAAAACTGCATCTTAATTAAAAAAAAAAAGTGGGAAAATTTTTTTTTTTATACCTCCTCAAAGCCGAGAAGGCTACTACAGATAAGGAGGCTACTTAATAGTGGTTATAACTTTCTCTCAACTCTATAACTCCGAAACTTGAACCTTGACGAACAAGGCTGTTGTGCAGAGAAACAAGTTAAGCGTGGTACTAGTCAAGATGTGAATCTAAGAAATGTAGCTTTAACAACATTTGACAACCCAGTTCTTGATAATGCTTCACAAGACTTTCTACCAGGGTCTTGAAATCATCTGCCCTGTTGTTTCCCAGGAAGTTATGAACCACGGCTTTAAATGACTGCTAAGCATTGCGTTCAGGTGGTGTAAGAGTTTCCTCAAATTTTAGGAAATCTTTTAGGAGCTCTCTTCTTTGAAGCCTATCAAACACACTTTCTTTATTCTTTGCCTCAGAAATGATTCAAGAGAACTTTGTTTGAATGTACTTAAAGCCAGTACTGTTTTTATTCATTGCTTTTACGAAACATTTCACTAAACCCAATTTGATATGCAAAGGAAGAAGCATAATTTTCAGCGGTTCAACAAGTGGAATTTGTTTAGCTTTGTGGTATCCTGGGCTAAATTCTGTACGATTAGGCCATATCTTCTTCACATAATGATTTTTAGTGTCTCAGCTATCCTAGAGGCAGAGGAAACACATATACTTAATGAAACATAATTGCAGTCCAAGCAACAAAGCAACTTCTTTAAGGTTACTACAAATAATCCACTTGTGGTTGCCATAGCTAACACAGTCAAGTACAGTTTTCATTGTCTCGTAAGTTTCCTGCAGTCCCACTGCATGAGCTATTGGAATGGAAGGGTATTTGTTTCCAATATGAATTAATACTGCCTTTAAAGAGTATTTTGAGGAGTCAATAAAGAGATGTAAATTAAAAAGAGTATAATGCCAGTTACAGTAATCGGTATACTAAATTTACTGTAAACTTTACTGTATATTTGGTATACTGAATGTTAGTATACCATTTAGTATACCAATATGCTTTTATTTATGAAATATTTCCAGAATGACTTGATAATTTAATGATTATATTTTTTTAATGTATTAAATTGCTATACTTTATTTAAGATATTATTGAATAAATAATGTGTTTTTTAATTTGATTTTTTAATATTTTTTTTTTTAGTTTGTTAAACTGTTTTATAACTATAAATTTTATACCACGCTGTTCGTGCTGTTTTTTTACCTTTTTTAAAAAATATATTAGCTTTTTTTTTTTTTACATATTTTTGGTTTATTCTTTGGATTTATGTTATCTGAATCAAATAATAATAATTACTATTATTACTACTTTTATGATGGGATGTGAAATAGCCTCTGTCGATGTTAAATTGTGCCTCAAAAAAATATAGAGAAGTTCAGAGTGTTTTAGTTGAAACAAAAGGCAATGAAATTATGGCCTCACAAATCTCTAAAGATTCAGTTTCTAGGTAATCTGCTAAAAAAACTATGCTAAATTCATACTTTGACACTATAAACAAAGATGACATTGAAAAGATTTATAAATCATACCTTTTGCATCAGCTGATTCTTCTGCTTGGAAGCAACATCATGCAAAAAAATATGTATAAAAGAATATGTTGATAATTCTGAATATGTAAGTATAGTGACTGATGGTTATATTAATTGTTCGATTCATGTTGAAAATAGGACAATGAAACCAATTTCTTACAAAATTGAGCCAACTGGTCAGGAGCAACAGACTGGCATTAATATTGCAACTCGCATAGAAAATGTAATTCTTGAGGTTGGTGTTGATAAAGTTACAAGCATTGTAACTAATAATGCCTCAAACATGAGAGCTGCATGGGATATTATTGAAAAAAAAAAACTTTGTTTATGATAGGAAGAATACTATGGGAAGAGTGTTAGATGAGTAAGATCGCTCTCCAGAATTTTTGAAAATAGCGATAACAGATGTCGCTTTCCAGCATGCTGGAAAACAAGACAATAAGCATTTGTTAAAAAATTTAGAAAGTATGAATGACAGCTCTGGAGAACACTTCTGCAAGACTACAACAGGTATGTTGTCTGGACCACATGCTGTAAAAGATTCTAAGCAGGAAATCTCTTTAGATAGAGAAGCTCAGCCTTGGTCGGGAAGCGGGAGCAATCGCTCTTGATTACTAAGCATGGAAATAATAGTTAGTTACAAAAAACTGGCCAGATTTTTTAGTCGTTTTGAGAACATTCAAAAAGCAAAAAAAAAACACAAAAGATTAATTGGACCGATGAGAGACAGTAACAAAAAAAAAAAAAATTGTTGAAAATAAGATATCTTTTAACGCGAAAAAAATTATGCTTAGAATAAATATTTTTGAAACATTGCTCTGTTATAATTTTTTTATAAATTTAAGCGACGTTTTTTAAATATAGTTACATCTAGTGATCCTCAAAATCCCGGGAATTTCAATTTCAGGAATATCGGGAATGAAAAAGCTCATTCCCAGGAATTACCGTTACCGGGAATGAGCTTTTCAATATTTTTTTATTTCTAAAACCTGAAAATTTTTAATCAAAAAATACAAAAAACAATGTTTAATCTACTTTATTAATTTATTTTGGAAATAACATTTAAGAAAAGAAATAGCATCGATGTTCTTATCACCAAGACGATTGCGAACTTTGCTCACAAGAATATTTGCTTCCGAAAAATGACGTTCTGCAGCTACTGATGTTGCTTGTATTGTATTCAGTCCCTCGAAAAGTCTATCCAGAGTTGGTGAGCATACTTTTGTCTTTGCTTACATCTGCATCTCCTTTTTGTAGTCAATAACTTTGCCCGCTTGCTTGTTGGTGACCTCTCTTGAAGCTTTCAAGGCAAGTGTCAGTTGCTCAGCTAAACTTCTTTGAACCTGCTGTGATGTTGATGCTGATGGTTCTTCTTGCTGTTCAGGTTGTTCCACACAATCATCATTTTCAGTACTGAAGAGTCTTTCCATCAGTTTCACTGCAAGTTTGCTCGTAGCTGCAACAGTCGATGTAGCAAAGTGATTCGGCCCATTGATGCTGTTGATGTCTTGCAAGTAAAGGATGAGTGATTGAAGAACGTCATGTCTGCGTTTGTTGACTTTCTCTTTGATAGCCAAGAAGATGTCCTGCGAGAGCTAATGATCATACATTTCTAAATTGT